AAAAAAGGAAGAATAACTTCAGATGGAGGAAAAAAAGAATTCTAATAATAGCATATTACATGGTTTAGCTGTGAATAATTTTTAGTCATACTAATACAAACACTAAACAGTGATTTTTTTTTTTTAAAGATTTTAGTGGGGAATTGGGGAGGGAACAGCACTGGGGAATCGGGCAAGGGGAACAGACAAGTTGTTGTCCTTTTGTTCTTCAGTCTAGTTGTGGAGGACTTCGCTTCACTGGCCCATGGTTGGTACTGTGATCATTGCGCTCTTCCTGGGTGAGGCAGATCTGTCGCCAGCCCTTGGATGGCTGCTCACAGCAACTCACGGCAGCTCACCCCGGCTGCCGGCCACTCACGGTAGCTTACAGCAGTCCACTGCAGCCCCACTGCAGCCTATGCCGTCACCAGCGACTCACAGCAGCATAGCTCCAGGTGGAACTGTTGTTCACCATCTTAGCTGTAGAGGGTGCAGTATCACTGGCCCATGTGGGATCTGAACCGGTAGCCCTGCTGCTCAGAGCTCATGCTCCCAAGCCAACTCTTAACCAACTGCGCCACTCAGCTGGCCCTAAACAGTGATTTTTAACCAAAAAGCTATAGTGGAGGATGGGATAACAATAAGTGTATGTGTTTGATGGGGGAGGAAATGGTCACACGAGAGAGCTAAACCTCATTTTCCATAGTTGAAAGTCAACAGATAATACCTACTTAAAAATGAAAAATCAAGAAATAGCTATCTAGGGGAGGCCAGTTAGCTCAGTTGGTTAAACGCCATGCTCATAACACCAAGGTTGCTGGTTCAATCCCCACGTGGGCCACTGAGATGCGCCCTCCACAACTAGATTGAAACAACTCCTTGACTTGGAGCTGAAGGGTCCTGGAAAAACACACTGTTCCCCAATTAAAAACAAAAAAGGAGAAAAGAAAAGAAATAGCTATCTATATGAGAAACTAAAATATAGAAGTAAATAGCAGAAAAAAGTAACTAAAATAGTTGAAAGTGGTTGCTTTGGGGAATGAGAATTTAGGATGTGGTAACAGGCTACTTTTACATTATAAGCCAAATAATAACTTATCTCTATAAATATATGGGTTTGCTGAACAATATAAAGCAAACATTTTTCTTTAAAACTCTTCAAGTTTATTTTCTTGATCAAATAGCCCTCTAATAGTATATCAAAGAGAGTTAGACCTGATGCAGTGAGGCATTTTTTAAATCCACAGAACAAACTGATTTTTCCAAGACCTTCATCAAACTCCACATGAAGGATAGCGTTCTTCCCCTCCACCCCCTACCCCCTGCTTGGGACCGGCCCCGTTTTGTTTCATTTTTAAAA